AAGATATACAGTGTAGTATGATGAACGTCCAAAACACAACCTAAACCTACACTAAAACAAGATATACAGTGTAGTATGATGAACGTCCAAAACACTGGGTTCAACCATTTAGCTGGCTACTTTAGAGCAGAGCCTTTTTGAGGACAGACATTGTCTAGTCCATACTTTGATCCAAAGATCCATGCTTTGCGTCCCGTTGCCTCAAATGCGAGCTCCTCTGGTTGGATTCGAGAGTGTGCTTTAAGATTGATGGCCGAAATCCATTTTCTGGTCAGACAAGAGTAGCCCAAGAGTTGACGATGGGTGTTGCCTTACCTCTAGTCTATTATTTCAAAATTAGATACGGACTTTATATAGATAGGCGCGATAATGATAAAACAAACAATTGTTTTAATTATAAGTATAAACTTTCAGACTTCTCATGTATAAAACGCGCCTAATTTCGGTCTTACGTGACAGATGTAACTATTTTGTTTTTGTTTTGTAATTCCCGAAAGAAACGCAAACGTAATCGTCGGTATAACTTTATAAAATATTATTTAACTTGTTTAGAGATCTTCAGATTTGCTCACTTTTTTTAAATTACCTTTATAAACCCTCAAACATCTCACGCACTCAACACTAGTTTCGACGTACATCAGGTGTGTTCTGTGCGTGAGATATCTCATTTTTTATAATGGTAATTACCAAAAGTAACTATGTCTGTTTCAGAGAAGTTCTACATCAAATAACACGTTAGACCACAGCTAACGTCATAACGTAAATGAATAATGAAGATCCTTTACATTAGGCGGTATTTCGTAATTTCAAATTGAACGGCACTCTAACCTTAAAGGTTATATAGGCTAAGTGGTCAGTACATAGGTCGTCAAGGTTTAGAAATAGAACTGTTGGCCAGGGGAAAGATGAACAACCATAAGTGTTCGCTGTCTATACAGCTAGTCTCATACGAATAGAGGGATTGACTATCGCTTTTATAACGCACCCACCTAAAAGTGCGGAGCATGTTCAGTGACATATCGCGGACGCGAACCTTAGACCTTCTGATTTATATACCCTGCGTGCTAACCAATAGGTTTGATATCAGAGTTTTGTAATAAAGAAATGCACTTGACTGTTACCTTTCTTACACAACGTCAATGTATTGTAAAATAATTACAATATTCCCATTTATGCATTTCTGATATCGTCTCAATAAAGTGGTTCATTTGATCTCAACCAAATATGTCCCCAAATAAAAATAAAGACATAATATTAGATTTTTACATTTCAAGAAAATAATATCCTGCTTCATTTCGGTTTAACTTTCGTCGTAAGTTTTATCTGCTTACGTGCATCAAATATTTTGAGGACGTCTCAGCATATCTCTAAACTGGGTCATCTTCATCTTTGTATTTTGTTTTTGGGAAAGTAAATACTTCTGAAATCTTAGTCTGTGAATCGTTCGACCCCGAGGATCGCAAGTGATAGGTTTTGGGATTTGTTGTTGGGGGTTTGCAGGAGCAACAGCGAAAGAGTTGACAGTAAGCCTTGCGATAAGTTCGGTTCATTAAGGCATATATTACTGGATTGATGCAAGAAGCCATCCATGCTAAAATCGAGGCGAGCACGTGGATTGCCGGGAAGCTACAAAGAACAAAAAAGTAATTTTGTTAACGAAGTTTCTACAAAAAGCACATAAACCTATAGTTTCTAAAACACAATGATTTTATTAAGATATCACTTATAATCGTATAATAAATACGCATGTTTAAACATATATATATTTATATAGAATACGTGTAGTACAAAATACGACTGACATAAAAACTAATAATCTACATTTAATGTAGAAATGATTTCTTTCAGTGTAAAACGTACTCAGTTTGTTGTCGATGTCCGAAAGAAATCTAAATATCAATAAATATATAATGAGACTAATCTCACCCTTTCAAAACACTGTTGACATAATATATACAAGTCGATGATTTTTGTATTCAGCATAATATTTTCTATTTCTGAGTAAAAGTATGCTCCATAAACTGATTAACTCATTGTTATAGTTAGCTTGTGTATACTGCTTTGTCCCTAGTAAGGTGCCAAGGACATTAAAAAGACAAGGACAAAAAAGGGGAATTTCTAAACATCGTAAGGTAAGACTTTTTGGGGGGGAAGACTGTTAGAGGAGAACATTGAGACCATGGGTTGCCTCTGATACACATAGGGTAGAAAGCCACGAGAAGCAAACAAATCCTCTTTTATTCCTATTCAATAGGTCTTATAAACATTCAAAATATAAAACTAAACACTTAATAGCATATTACAATTATATTTTTACTGTAAAGACCTACAATTTCCCGAGTGTCTTTCATTTTAAATCTGAATTATTTTCTTCCTAACTCGCAGCAAACGGGTTGTGGAATCAGGCGTGTCTTTTAGCAGTCGCGGACTATTTTTCTATCTGAGAGAAGTGGCACTTTGGGGGGTATAAGAGGAAGAAGGCAACCAACCCCATGTGCACGTCTCTGTTTGTCCCAGTAAGTCAGATTATGGAAGCAATAAATAAAACATTTTCTAGTTTATTAGGCCCATCATTCAGATTGTTTTTTACTTCAACGATTCTAAGGAATACCGTTACTTGACGTTTTCTATACGAGGAATAGCTCAAGATGGTTGTTTCCAATCTTGATGTTGTATTTTTTGTGACTGTAAAAACTGATACTATTCATGAACGTATATAATAGTTTACGACTTTTCTTACAACACATAATATAACATCTTGTATACGCTTGTGTGTTAGGTATCTTGCTAGATAAGAATGCAGTAAAAGCTGAGTAAACGCTCAAGATAGTACTAGACTTAAAAATACAGAATAAAATGATTTAGTGAGAGGTTCCTTGGAAGGTCAGGAACTATTGTGTTCGCCTCAGTTCACCGTCTACACCCTTACAGATTTATTGCTAGTTTGTAAAAATGATACCACATTTAAAAAGGAAAACAATCAAACTCCTAAACAAAATAATATTACATATTAACAACTCACATAGTCGCTGAAGTTTTTATTTAATCAGGTTGCTTGACGACATGGCAAATAGAATCAGATTATTCTGTTGATCAGATTGATTTTAACATAATAAGAGAAATCACTACACAATGTTCGTGGATGTCCAACGGAAAAGTGTAATTTTCTTTTAAGAATTTTAAGCAATGTTGTATTGATTTGAACGTTTGTGGTGAGCATTTACGCAGCAACTTAAGAAAATATAATAATATATAACCATATAACTTCAACATTCTTCTGTGTCCGTTTTTTTTAATACAATACTGCTAGATAATTGTTCATGTTGGATTTCGCGCAAAGCCACTCGAAGGCTATCTGTGCTAGCTGTCCCTAATTTTAAAGTAATAACCTAGAGGGAAGGCTAGTCAACATCAGCCACCGCCAGCTCTTGGATTCCTCTTTAGTAACGAATTGTGGGATTGACCGTTGTTGGATATACAAGATTGCTTAGTGTAAGAGTTGTTATTTAGTTCATTTAGTGATTTAATATTTAATGATTATTTAGTTTTTATAACAAGAATGTTAAAAGTTAATTATCTTAAAAGCGATAATTGTGACAAATTTCGTTACGTAACTCGGTAAGAGTCGTATGTTTTGTGTGTAGTTCAATTGTTGTAATGTGACGTCACATTGCTCGAACCTTCTGTATTTTAATCGTTGTCTTAAGTGAGTATTGTTACTTCATAGCGTCTCGTAGTTTGTAGAATGTTTTAGGTCTCAGTTGGTCAATGTATATATATAAGTCACACTGCATAAGTTAGTTTAGCCGTTAGGGGAAATGTTTAAAGTGAGTTTCACAGTGGTAATATAATAACAGAAATAAAGGATAATAATCTGTCTTGTCAAAGAGTTGCTCTAAAGTAATAGAACCCGCCTGTGTGGACTTTGACGAAAAAGGAGACAATTATTTGAAGTTCTGGATACAACTGTGGTAACACATGGAGTAACGTAAGTGAATCTATCACAGATTCTGCAGTAAGGAATATAGTAAAGAAAAATAATTCTTGTGAAATGAATAATAAAGTAACTGAATTAGCCTGTGGGGGATTTTTTGACAAGAAAGAGAGTTATTTAAAGCTTTAGATACAACTTTGATAACCAATAGTGAAACGAATTTTTGTACATACGTTTGACTTGTTTTGAATATATATTATTTTAAAACAAGTGGATTTTGTGCTGTCCGTTTATTGTTGACATTTATCGCCAACAAGTCACAGACGTCTACTGTAAAAGAATCCCAGTCCATATTATAAACCTGACAACCGCCACATCAATTTATGTTAAAATTCTTCTTCATTCTTTACGAAGTCTCTTTAATAAATTTGTAATTTATTTGTTCATTATCTCTAAACGAATATCAAAATGCATAGGGTACTGTTGAAAATAGCTTACTCAAGAAGTTTTAGCTGTCCATAGTGTCCCCAACTAAGAGAGCAGCAGTAAGTCTGAAGGCATATAACGCTAAAAGCCGGGATTAAATACCCGTAGTGAGCACAGCACAGATAGTCCATTGTGTAGCTTTTTGCTTAACAACAAATAAACAAACACAAACTGTCTGTAGTGGAGCTTTTATTATTTATTTAAAGTTTATCATGTTTTCTGTTCAATTTTTAAGAGTTACAGTATTTGGATAATTTTCACTTTCGTTATCTTTCTAAATTTCCATAAAAACGCGTAATTTATGTCAATTTGAGAAACATTCATCGGTTTACCAATCACTACTTTTTATTTCAGTGAGTGATAGATAATTTGTTTTTTATTAATATTTTTTTTGTAAAACAGTTTTGTAGCAATATGTGTTTTTTTTTCTACAGCAATAAAACATTTTACTAACTATCAAATCGAACATTCTTGTTGGTCGCGAGTGAATCCCTAATGCGATGATCCATTGTATTAGAGGCCTGGCATGGCCAGGTGGTTAGGGCGCTCGACTTGCAATTTGAGGGTCGCGGGTTCAAATCTCCGTCACACCAAACATGCTCGCCCTTGCAGCGTTATAATGTGACGGTCAATCCCACTATTCGTTGGTAAAATAGTAGCCCAAGAGTTGGTGGTGGGTGGTGATGACTAGCTGCCATGGCCCGGCATGGCCAGGTGGATAAGGCGCTCGACTCACAATCTGAGGGTCGCGGGTTCGAATCCGCATCCCACCAAACATAGCTCGCCCTTTCAG